CTGAGGAAGCTTTTTTTTCCATTTTAACAGAGGCTTGCTTGAGATCTAACTGATGTCAGGAGATCCTGATGTCTGTGCTCACATCCCATTTGGAATTTACCTAAGAAAAGTCATGGTGTTATTGAGATTGGTTTTGCTGCTGGTTGCTACAGCGAGAGAATTTGGCCCAGGATGTCCCCACTGGCTCCATGAAAGACAGGGGCTGATGGGGTGTCTCAGAGAGGCAGCAAGTCAGCCTTGGTGAGGGTTCGACAAACGTGTGGAACAGCTCACAAAGCCCAAGGATCCCTAATTTAGGGAAGCTGTGGATTTCCTAGGAGTGGAGATTGATTGAAGTGTATGCAGCTGACCCCTGCAAATCAGCCAGCTGGCTGCTAGATGATTCATGGTTTGAGGAGAGACTCCTGTTTGTGCCTTCGGGGAGAAGGATGGAGGGGTAAATTCAACCTTACTATTAGACCTAAAAGAATCCACATCAGAGACAGCCATGAGAAATCACGAAACCAAGTCTTGCTGCTTGTGGTGCAAATTGTCTTTTCTATCAATGCCCCAGCTCTTAAACCAAAAACCCCAACAAAACCTGACCCAACCCAAAGACACAGAGTGGGTTGGTAGCTCGCAGAAGGACAGACCGTGGGGCCTGTCAGACAGGGAGGACATTGCACAGATCCACTTCTCCCCAGGCCCCTGGTTAACTGGGTTTGTTCTCTTCCTGTTTGGATTGCAATTATTAACAACTGTTAGTCTGTCATTCCCCTCTCTTTTCTTGTTTTCTCTCCTAAAGTAGGAGGTAGAACTAAATAATCCCCAAAACATTAAGTGGTGAAACAGCAGGGAGAAGTGGTTGTGCTGGTGGCAGAGCAGGTGACAGGACATTTTTACGGCGCTGTGGCCATTGCTGGAGCTGAGGTGCCGAATGGCATGTATGAAGGAAGAACCAGAGCTCTGGCTATACAACCCCATGCCGACTAATCACTGAGAGACTAATCTCTGGCCAGTCCTTGCTCTTCTTGCTATCCTTCGGTACCTCCCAGTATGAGCCAGGGAGGGAGGGGAGGATGGCTGCACCTTGCAGCTGGGGAGCCTGGTTTCCTGGGCAATACATTCAGTGGTGAGATGCTAAGACAGAGAATAGGAAAAAAAACCCAACCTGAGGAAAGCAAAAGCAGGCAATGAATTTTTTTTGGTCGCTATATGAGCTGTACACTACTGTAAGACACTGTTGCTGCAGGGGAGGAGACTCTGTGTCACTTGTGTATGGGTAAGGACTCAGGAGCTCTTCTCTCCCTGGTGTTAGCAGGACATTGAAATGGCAAAAACTATCATCAGAGAACTTACGGGAGATTTTCAGTATTATCATGGATTCCCATGGGATCAATATGTGGAAGGTGTTGTGCTCAGTGTTATTGAGGGTCTTGTGTACTTGGTGAGCTTTTCCGAAAGATCCAGAGCCAAGCATTAACACCGCTGCTTGAAAATCACCAATTACACCATTTTTTAATTTGGAAATCTTTTTGCCCTCTTGCAGCAAGAGAAAAAGGTGGAAAAATGCACCTCTGATGGCTCCAGTACTGATTGCTTGTAAAAAGAACCTGCGCAGGCTTGAAAAAAATTATTATTTTCCCAGTTTTAGGGGGGAGAGAGATTCATGAATTTTCAGTGCTTGGGCTGGTGCTGCGATTTGGGCTGACTGAGCAATCAGGCTGGTTACCAGCCTCGACTCTGAGTTGATAGAAATGACTGAGAGCACAAAGAGGAGGAATTTGTTTTTTTGAAAAACAAAGTACACCCCCCTCCCACCCCAAAAGACCAAACCCCTCCTCAGAAAGAAGTGGCTCTGTTAATACCAGCTTGAGTGGCAGAGCAGGAAATCAGCTGAAAATGAACAAAGAGCCGTGCAGCAGGGATGCTAATGCAAGAAAATGCCAATTCACACGTCGGCAGGCAGCCTGTGACAGCTTCCTTTCCTCTTCAAACATTTTAGCCAGATAATGAGCAAAAAGCCCAAACATTTTTCGCATAATCAACTGAGTTTGGAAGGGAGAAGCAATAGAGGAAGAGCAGGCGCGGTGCTAATTATTTGCTGGCTGATACGGCTGTCAACGAAGCAGCGTGGGACTGTGCGGGGGGTGTGTTGCTAATTGCTGGCAGCGCCTGGAGCTCGGGTCGATGCCCTTGGTCACTTGGCTGGTGGTGGAAGCTGTTGTTAATGCACGGGCAACTCGGCTGCTTGCTGAAATGGGAGCCAAGGCACGTTTGCCAACAGCTATTGGGGTAGGGAGGGTAACCATTAGTGAACTGGGGTTTCATATCAGTATTGATTGGGGTTGCAATGGGGAAAGGAAGCGCAGAAGGGCGCTGGTGGCTGTCTGGTCCAGGGTGGTGTGTTCATGTGAAGCAGATGGTTGACTGTTTTACTTTGCCAGCAGATTATGGGGTTGGCTTCAAACCATGTTGTGAGGTTTCCCAGGAATGCAGGGCTCCCGTCTGCGGCAGAACGTTGCTGCCTTAAGCACGTTACCTGGGGTCACCGCTAGAAGAAATGTTCTTGTGTGGAAAGTCGCTGCACACTGGGTGGTTCTCATCATCCTCAGTGCCCTGCCTGACCAAAGACACGTTGATGCTTCAGTGGCATTGAGAGGCTCCAGCCCTGGATGTCCCAGGATATTTTAAAGGAGCCTTTTGCAGACGCTTCTCTTGTACTGAAAAGCAGCCTTATTCTAGGTATCCTGAGCTGCTGTTTTGGGGTTCCTCCTCCGACATGCTCACGCAACTGAGAAGAAATGAAGGAAGGTTGTAGCTGCTGGGCTGAGTGAGGTGGGCAGGGAGCAGTTGGATCTTGTTTTATACTCTCAAACCATCTTTGTTTTCTGACTCTTCAGTTCTGCAAGGCATGGGGTGACAGAGAGAGGGTAAGGCAGGATATCGGGAAAAACTTTCTGAAAAGAGAAATTAAGATGAACATGGCTGTCACCAGTAGCAGAGATTGAAAACTCTGAATCTTTATCACTATTAAACACCTGCTGAAGAGACGGCGTGTGGCTTTGGGGATTTTTTTTAGAAAAAAATTTGATGCTGGAGCTAAATTGTCCCAAGTAACTTCTACTTCTTTCAAGAGTCATTAAGCTCAGATTAATCTTGACCCTGCCCTCTCCGTCACCTGAAGAACCATCGCTATTAAAAATGCAAATTTGCTTTTCAAGTCCTTCTGCTCTTAGAGTTGATTCCGGGCTGTACCAGCACCTATTTGAAATCAATGTTTTTGCCTTTGTGCTCCCTGTAATTCTCTAGACAAGTGCTGCTGCTTTCACTGTCAACATTGAGTAATGCTGCAAGATTTCCATGGTCCGGACAGCGCTGTTTTATCCTACTTGTTCTTGCCTTTATTTTTTGAAAAGAAGAGCTTCGTTTCCCTGTTTCAGAGGTCTGGGATGCTTGGGTATCAAGGTTCAACGTGTTTTGTGAGTAATGGCTTGGCATAGCTTGGTGATGGTCTAGTGCCAAGTGCTAGTTCTTGCTTCATTAGAAATCTTCAGTTAGTGGTGATGGAAAAGCCTTCAAAGTGATGCAGGAGAAAAGTCCAGGGTCTGGATATCTACATTATCCCTTTATGGCCTGCAAAACTAAAGGGTGCTTATTTTTCAGATGAAACTTTTTATGATTGAAAGTGCAGATCTGGGCCAGCCAAAACTTTTCTGCTGAGTTTCGTCACCTTATGAAGTTACTTCAGCTGGCACAACAAGAAATAAAACTAGAAAAAAATGTTGCTTTTTTTGAAGTTAGTTTAGGTGGAACCTTATGTTATTTTACTTTTAAAAAATGCTTAAACCCTTGATCAAAATTCCCCTCCCAGTGGTTAAGTGTAATCCACGTGATTCAATTTACACCATAATTTTTCTGTTTGGGGGCAAAGTGGGCTGCCAGCAAACTGAACATCGGGTTTGACTGCCCTGTGTACAGACCACTGTCTGGAATGGGACTGAATAAAAGTCGCTGTTCCCTTTGCATGCAGCGAGACAAAACCTCTGTAACATGAATATAAGTTACTGAAGGACTGTGGACAGGAATAAATGGATAAGGTTTTCGGTAACCCACATTTATACTATCATGTACAACTTCTAAACCTTCACAGCTATTGAAAAATTGGGACGGGCAATCCAGGAATGTGGTTACTGAGAAGAGGAGTTATTTGATACTACATGGTTACTGGAAATTATTGGTTAATAAAGCGAAAGGTTTTTAGGATATGCCATAAAAATAGGCATTTTAGATGAATGGCAATGAAATCTGTAGAAGCATGCTCCCTTCTCTGCAAATAACCTCTATGCCATATAGGAGTCTTCTAATAGCAGAATACAAAGATATTTAAAAACTTTAAATTTCAGCTTGTGCTGGATGGTGCGTTTACAATGCATAATACTATTTTTTCTTTCCTCTCACTTTTTTTTTTTTTAAATCACTTAAGAGAAGGTGCTCTCTATGTTGTACAGAGGCTGGAACAGCAGCAGGAAAATGTGACTTTGAAATAATGGGATCTATAAGAATAGGCAATTTCATTCAAGTATAGTGATTTAGTGCCCTGTTAGTGTCCTGATGTATAACTCCATTTCCAAAGACCGTAAGTTTCTTCACAAGCATAATGACAGGCTTAAAACTTGTGAGACTAATGCCACAGCTTTCTCTGTCCTCAGCTGTTCCACATAATTACAGGAGTAAGGGAATTTTGTTCTCTCTTAATGGATTAGCTCCAAGAGGAATAAATCAGATAATGTTATTGCTTTCTTGTTTCTTTCTCTCCCTCCCTAAAGAGCAGGACAGCTCGCACGGCACAGCGCAAAGCCAGGGCTGGTAATGTTTTTTCTTACCTACAGCCTGTGATACGGATGTGATCCTGATTCCCATGTCACCAGGACAAACTTTTTTAAGAGCTCTGGTTGTGTTGTTTGTTGCTTTTGGTACTAATTTCAGCTTCTGTATTTGCTCTGCTCATAGACGATGGCCCTTACTCGAAGGGGAGCAAGGATTCTGGTGGGATGGACTCAGCCCTGGTCTCCAGGAGGCAAAGCATCCCAGGTAAAGGAAGGGGTCAGCTCCCGCTCCAAAGCATCGGGGTATCCATTATAGTTCACCTAGCTACCTCTAAAAATGGGTAACACCCCTCAAAACACCCATTTGGGTGCATCTATCAGCCAGGCTTTTGCTGGAGGGCGGAAATGGATGGTAGTAACTGGTCTCAGTGAGTGGTGCGTTACTGGTGCAATCACAGTCTGGTGTGGAGCTGTTGATGGTGGCTACAGAGAGCTGGGAAAGGACTGGTTTCTGCAGTGGGCTGACACCCACAAAAAGGAAAACAGCAGCAAAGGAGAGAGGGGAAAAAGCACTGCCACATTTGAGCTCACTGGGTGGGGAGGGAGACTGGCAGTGTCTGGCAAGCTTCGTATTTCCCGTGTGACTAAGTTTGTTTTGATATTTAGTCAGTCACAGCAGACTTGTGTGTGAGATAAACCTTCCCGTGCAGAAACACCACCAGGAGCTGAAGAGGGAATAGAGAAACGGTAGTACGTTTGCCTCTGTTGTTGCTGGGCTTTGCCTGCAAGCGGCACGCCAGTAGGTTTGGATGGGCTGCTGTGGACAACCTGTCTCCCTCCTAATAATGCCCAGGGCTTGATTTTGACTTCTGACCATTAATGATGCAGTCACAGGTTTGGTTTATTGTGTTGTAGGAGATGGGTAGGAAATGGGACCCTTTTGCCATTGCTTCATCCTTTGGCAATTTTTCTAGGGGATATTCTGCATCCTATGGGGCTGCTGCAACATGTTGCCACTGTACTGCAGCCCTGATGGAGAGGGGCTCACTCCCTGCTCACGACAGCCAGTATGTCTCAAGGCATCTCAGTGGGGAGGGCAAAATTCAGGTGTGCTCTTCCTGCCCTGGGATGCTTTGAGCAGCAAAATCCAAGCATATATGCCAACAGAAGTAATCCAAGACTACTCTTATATGGTACTTAAACACTGTGTCTTGAAGGACCAGATCCTGCTTAACCAGCTCATTTTTACATCTGTGTATGTGTGATAGCAGCAGTAGATTTATAGAGCATTGGTCAAAATCCCTTATTGCTTGCCTTGATAGATTGATCTTGGGTGCTGTCCCTTTTTCGGAGCAGTGATTTCTCCTTGAACCCATAACAATGGATAATTGCACTCTGGGAGTTCTCATTTTGAACACTTATCAAGGATCAAAATTAAACCCCATTGAAGAGCTAATAATCTCCCCTTGTGGCACCATCTGTGTTGATCAGTCATGTCTGTGGTTGACAGCAAATTTGCAGGATAGTGCCGGATGGTGTTTCTTCCAGCACGGTGGGGAGCCCCCTCAGAGTTTCTGTCAGCCCCTGGGATCCCAGGCTGGTGAATTGAAAACTAAGTTACTGTAGTTGGCAAGGGATCAAAACTGAGTTTAAAGAGCAGAAGCATTCCGGACCTGACGTTTTACAATGAGCTGCCAGTGCCCAGCAGCACCTACACGCCTTCCAGACTGGTACTAGACTGGAAAGAGGTTCCTCACTTATGTTAATCAAGTGCACAGGTTATTCTTGGAAGTGCTTTACAAAATAGGTAGTGCATGGCAGGACTTGAAGTGAAGTGCAATTTCTGATGTTGTGGTGGCATTACGCAAGGAGCAAAGTGCTAGTGAGGAGGCACCACAGTTTCAAAAGACACCGTGTTTTCTCCCCATGAAAGAGGATGGAGAAGGGAAGCCCCACACCAGCATGGATATTCTGTGTCAGTATGTTATTTGAGAGACTCTGCCTTGTTCTGGAAATTGTGGTGTGCAAGAGGTTTCAAATGTTCCCTCTCCAAATACAGCATCTCATTTAAGCCTGATGGGGTTTGCTGTGCAAACAAACTCCTGGGCCATTTGCAGTGCGGGTTTTAGTCCACAGTTGTGGGACTGCTGTTTGCCGTGTGCTGCCAATGCCCATCACCACCTTCTGCTGCACAGCCTTGGAGAAAGCCGCCATGTGTGAGGGAGACTATTTTCCTCCTGTGAAATTGTGGGAGATTTCAGTACACCAGAGCTAGTGGAGGTGGATGTATCATGTTGTAGATGGATTCTGCAAAAGCTTCTTAGAGGAGGCGCTGGCAAGGCATGAAAGTCATCTGATTTGCCCCAGGGCTAGTCCTCCTTTGAGCAAAGAGTGCGAGTGCCGTCACGTGGATTAATGTGGGGCTGCCTTTTGCCAAGCCCACAGAGCTCTTGGTCTTTCCTTGGGCCAGTGCTGGCTCTCCTGCTAACTTGCTGCCCTTCTCCATGGCAAATCCAGAAGCTGTAATAGTTTAGGGACCCTGTTTTAGTAAAACCCAGACAGAAGCTGTAATGGGATCAAAACTGGCATCAGGTTGGGCTTATATATAGGTGCTGGACAAACAAGAGTCATCTTGGACTACAGGAAGGTAAAACGTACACTGCCTGCAGCAAACAGCGAAGCGATACAGGTGCAGCAGTCATGGGGTGTGCATCCCCTAAACCTGACCCCGCCATATGTATTATGGCTGGCAGTGCATGTGGACCCAGTTATGTTGTAAAAGTGACTTGTGTCTTCAATTCCAGCTGTAGATGAGGTGGGTAATATGGAGGAATTTTGACTTAGACCAGGTGCAGATGGGTGGAGAAACTGCTGTGAATGAATGAAGGTCATGCCTCCCCCTCCTTCCACTGCTGATGGCAGGATCCCACCCCCCCACATTATGTTCTTTATCTCCCAAGTGTACTGATGTCTCATGATATTTTTTTAATCACAGTATTTTAAGATCCACCCTGTTCTGTCCATCCAGGCAGCTACTGCAGGTCCACAGCATCCTTCTACCTGGTAACTGTGACTGCCTGACATGTAGCCCTCCTAACACCCTCCCCACTCTATATCAAATATCATTGCTGAGGCAGTCTCCCTGGACCATTGCTGAGATCCCATCAACCTGGTTTTGAGTCCTTCCACTGCCTCCAGCACCTTGAAACAAAAGGTTTTTATCTCCTCACAAGCCCTCCCTCCTCTGTCTTGTCCTGCTTGGTCTTGCCTGCCAGACCTGCATGCAAATGCTTTCCCTCCACTGCTCTGGGTCCACCAGGACACACTTCTGTTTCACAACTTAAGTAGACTGAAGCTTTCTTCATGCTAACTGTGCAAATCACCCCAGGTCTGCTCTCCCACCACCTGCAGGAAAAAGCTGTCGTTGGGTTTGGGAGGAATGTGCCTTCCACTGAGATGTTTGTCTTTATTCCTGATCTTTCAGAGGAGTTCAGAGGGGTCACTGTCGTGGAGCTGATTAAGAAGGAAGGAAGCACCCTCGGGTTAACCATTTCAGGTGGCACAGACAAAGATGGAAAGCCAAGAGTCTCCAATCTGAGGCCGGGAGGTCTGGCCGCAAGGTGAGAAGTGGAAATGGGCTGCAGAGAGCACAGTAAAACTGGAGAGCAATAGTCGCATGTTCTAGCTACTGAATGAATACAGTTATAATTAACATAGATGGCACCTGACTCCCTTTTTTCAGGTGCCCCAGAATGCAAAGTTGTTGCTTCAGTAAGTAGAATGTCTTCTGGTTTATTTCTCATGCCCTGTGCAATTATGCTCTGAAATTTTGTGTAGGTATATTTGGGATTCTGGGAAATTAGGCAGCCTTGTCAGGAGAGCTGCATGGTACAATACATCTTGATCGAGCTAAGTGGTTTAATATTGTATCTGTTCTGAATACTGAGTAAGTAACGTTATTGACTCCGAGAACGAATCGGAGAAGAAAGGCTCCAAGAAGCAGAGGAAAGGCAGTAGTAATTGAACAATTGTGCAGAAAACAGGCAAAAAGAAAGATGTTTTCTTTTTTCCTGCTGGATTTTTTTTTCAGACAGCTCTTGGTGTGCTTCTTTTTGACTGATTGCTCTACAAGAATGGGAACTGAGCAACAAAAAGAGAGGTTGTGAACACGTAAACTGCAATTGTTGCTGTGTGTACAGATCTGAATGCTTGCCACTGGGAAAGATAGATGGCTTCGATTTTGGCACTTCCCTCTGATAGCAGGCATATGCAATCAGACAGCTAAGATCAGCCCAGCGCTGGTGGCTGGTTCAGAAAGTCCTCCAGTTACCAAAGGTTTGCCATGCACATCCAGGCTGGGCATAGCAGAGACTTCATGCTACCAGTGCTTTTTTTCTTTTTTCTTTATTTGCAGAAGTGACCAGCTGAACGTCGGGGATTACATCAAGTCAGTGAATGGCATTAACCTGACCAAGCTGCGGCACGATGAGATCATAAGCCTGCTGAAAAACGTGGGCGAAAGGGTAGTGCTGGAAGTAGAGTATGAGCTTCCGCCAGCCGGTGGGTGCCTCCCTGATAACCCTACTCTCTTTTCTTGGCTGCTTTTGTCCTGGGGTACAGATGGGCTTGCTCGTGCGTTAGTCATCATGGCCAAGGCAGTATCCAGGGGCATTTTGACGTTCTGCCTTCATCTGCTTGCAGCGCGGCGGTGGCTGTGCAGAGCTGTGTGCAGTCGGAGCCGAGTGCTTTTTCCAGCACAGTGGGTGCCTGTTCATGCACACCGGCGGGAGATGGCTGATTAGGTCTGTCTTGCCTTGGAGTGACTCAGTAGCACAGGCCAATCTGCCTCCTGATGCTGCTTTGGCTTGTTTTTCTTTTTGCCTTTTGGAGCGTGGCTACGGGAGGCTTTATTCAGTCTTAAGCCTGTATTGCCAGATCCTCTTTTCTGAACTGTGGCAAGTGCTGTTATTCCTCAAGATACTTTGAAATGTTATGTGTTTTCAGAAGGGAAACTGAAGTAATCTGATTTCCAGCTAAGGAGCCCTGGCAGAAGCTGGCAAGCCCAAGTCACATTAACAGGGCTTGTGTCCTGACATGGGAGGCTATGTGCTCTTGCCCTCATTTGTTCTGATTAAAACAAATTCCTCGATACATTTTCTCATCAGAGTCTTTCAATTGTGAAAACGATCTCCCCAGTTATTACTCACCCAGATACCCAGAACAATCAGAGGATGATTGGGCAGAATAGAACAACTAAAAATAAGATGACAGGAAAAACAAAGCTAATGAAATATGAACATTTTGCCCCAGATAGGAAGCTATTTTACACTTCATAGCTTTGCTATAGCTGCTGCCTTTACATTGAAAGTATCAAATATATAAATGAAAAAAATACAGTCTGAATTAGCTGAATCTCTGTCTATCATCCCCCTCTATTCTGCTGTAAACTTTAGTGAGCTTTTGCATACAACTCTGGTGAAACAAACTGTGGCTCAAGTTTTCCACGTTCCCATGTTCATTAGAGATGACAGCTCTTTACCTTTTTCCTTAACTGTGAGCCTGGCTATCAGGAATCTGATAAGCTGTGCTTACCAGCTAAGGAGCTGTGCCAATACCGCACAGCTCAATCGATAGCAGCGATGCAAAATGTCCCCCCCAACCTCTGAATGAGCAGGAAGAGCACACTCAAATAGTGACTTCTCTCCAGTGAGATTATTGATGCTGTTTATGACTAATCCAAATAAACAGGCACTGCAAAATACAGGGAATTGTCAATTGTTGCCTTGCTCCAGTTCATTGTGGGCTTTTATCTGCAGTGGGGGTTTGTTATTGCTGTGTGCACCCATCTCGTTTTCTCTTTCTCTCTCTTTCCTTGGGCAGAAAGCAGAAATACAGTGCAATTCCATTGCTTGTGCTTGTGGGTTTGAATTTTTCTCCCCACTCTGTAATTTCCTGCTTTGGAAGAGATCTTGCAAGTCCAAGTCTAGTTTTCAGGCCACTGTGTCATATCATCTCTTTTATAAATAAACCAAGCCCTACATTAACACTAGCTTAGATTTCCCTGCTCCCCACTGATCTTACGAAAGGCTATTGCAGAACTTCATGCTTGGGTGCTTAGGACAGAAACTGGATAGTTACTGAGCTCATTTGTGAATGCTTTGTACCCTTTTCTTGGTATGTGAGTATCACCCATTAGCTGGAAGCCTTCTTGTGCCCTGAGCTTTTCCCTTCTGGAGTATTTCTAGGCTGCATCCCTGTTAGCAGTCCGTGCACAGCAGCAGGAGCAAAGCGGCTGTGCAGGGGACAGTGTTTTGGGGGTTGGTTTGGCCTCGCTGTAGCCTGGACCTCAGGGCTGCCAGCCTGCAAGGTGGTGCCGTGCCTCTGCTGTACGTCTTTTGGGCTAGTTTAAGGGTTAGGTTAACCGTAAATTGGGTGCAGATTGTGAGCCCTCAGGGTGCTTTGCAGTGAGGACCAGTGTGGTCAGTGAGGACAGTGGGGAGATTCGCTTCAAGAACCCCCTCCCGAGCCAAGGGGAAATGCCAGCGCGGACGTGCCGAGGGCAGCCTTCAGCTCCCATTTGCCAGGTTGAAGTCAAGTTCTTAGTCTGATTTCTGATTAGCCCTGTGGCTATCCATTGCACTGGGTTTGAAGATTAGGAATTGATCTTTTCAGAATAGACTAGGCTGAAATGCCATGTGCTGTTCTGGATGGCGAAGACTGGGAAATTGTCCCATATTCACTGCAGCAGTTCAATAAATAATTAAATAGCGGGGGATGGCAAGGGACAGAAACAGTTTTCTTTCTTTTTCTCTTTACTTTTGGACATTAAATAGTACTGTGTATTTAACATAAAATTACTGAATTGCCCCAAGGATCAGTTTAAAGGATTCACTTAATCTTTTTTTAAAGTCAAAATATGAGAGGTAAGGGAAAAAAACCTCAACCTTTTGCACTGAGGATTTGGGATTTTCATTTTCTTTAAGGTCAGCCAGTGACTTGATTCCTTATGCTGCTGCTGTTATTTTTTAATAAGTTTCCATCCACGGCAGAAGCTTCTGGCTTTTGAGTAATGCTGAACGTATTAAAACCAGCTGATAAACTAGACAGTTTTACTTGAATGTCAGAGTATTAACTGAGACAAATTTGAGGGGAGATGAACAACACTGAGCTGGTGAAATCATCCCAAAACTTGATGGTTGGTTCTGACGAAGGTTCACAAGTCAGGGTCATACTTGTTTTGCCTCCAAACAGGGAAGATACAATAAGGATATGGGTCTGGACTTTCATTTCAATGCCTTTTGGATGAGTTTTGGTGTTATTTTGCAGGGTGGTGTGGAAAATGTTTGTCTGGAGGTAACTGGGTCTTTTTCTTTTCCTTTAGTGCCAGAGAGCAGCGCTGGCATTATTCCCAAGACCATCGAGGTGTCCCTCTACAAGGAAGGGAACAGCTTTGGCTTCGTGCTGAGAGGTTAGTGGCTTCTCCAGTGGGAAAAAAAAAAAAGGGACAGCACTGGCAGAGGTGATTTGACAAGCAGAAAGACGAAAGTTAGAAGATGAATGTCATAAACCTCAGCTGAGAAGTGCAAGTGTGTCCTGGAGAGCATCCCAAGCAGCCTTCAGGGACTGCCGGCTGCCTAATCCAGGGCAGTCTTTTTGCTTTCAGGCTGTGTCAGCTGTTATATGATAAATGTCTCTCCTTTCTCAGCACTCTCTTTCAGACTTTCAAACCTCTGGTGACTTATGGCTTTCCTGGTTTGATTACAGGGGGAGCCCATGAAGACTGGCACAAGTCCAGACCACTGGTGCTTACCTACGTGAGGCCGGGTGGCCCAGCAGACAGGTAATGCTCATGTTGCTCTTCCAGCATTTGTTTTCACAAGACAGACCAGTAGCTTTCACCACGCTCTTGGACTATGTCCTTCTTGTCCTTCTTGCCGGTGGGGTGGAACAACACAGGTGTTGTGGGACCTGTGATGTACAGGAGGATGAGGCCAGTGCTCATAGGCTGACCCATGTGTAGATGTTACAGTTATAAGCAGAAGCTCCTCTTCCAGAGGCAGCCAGTTAATTAACCCTGTGCAGATGACAGCTGATGCTGTGTTAGAAAGCAGGAGGCAGTCTCTCTGTTCTCATGCTGCTAATTTAATACGATGGGCCTGGTACTATAAATAACCTAAACTATTGTCCCAAGAAGTGTTCAATTCCTACAGGGTCAAGGTAATTGACTTTTTATATATATATATATATATATGTGTATGCACAGACATACAAAATATATAAGTATATGAAGTATATATACAAAATATAGATCTATATAAATATATATAGAAAATATTTCTAAGTATAAATAAATACATGTACACATACACAAAACCCCCTTTTGCCTGTGGCTTCGTACAGGGAAGGGTCTTTGAAAATTGGGGACAGGCTGCTGAGTGTTGATGGGATCCCTCTGCACAGCATGACCCACGCCGATGCCCTCAACATCCTGCGGCAGTGCAGCCAGGAGGCACTCTTCCAGATCGAGTATGATGTGACCATCATGGGTAAGGCCAAGATGATTGTGGTGGCATTTTCTCTGACTGCCTGGAAAGCATGTGAGACCTAAACACAATAACTGGGATACTTGGTTTCAGTGGAAAAATTGCTGAGCAACGCGCTGCCAACATGGGCGTAGGGGGTAGAGTTCAAAGCCGGCTTAGCTGAATGCATTTGAAATGCCCTTGTCCAATGATGTGTCTCAATGGGAATGATGACTGATTTTAGAGGAGGGGAAAAAAGGGGATTTTCTGATGTAGGCAAAGAGGGCACAGGAGAAGTCGGACTTTCAGGGGGCTGGAGCACTCTGCCTGCACTGCAAATACTGCTGTTAAATGTGTGCAGGGGAGTGAGCTGCAAGCAGGCAGAGATGTGATGTGGCTGTGGCTTCAGTTCTGAATTTTGACCCCGCTTAGTTCTGGAGCTATTCCCTTTCTTAGAAACGTTAGTTCAGATCTACTTCTGAAATAAATGAGGAGTTATCAACTGATTGACCTCAAATAAGACTGAATTTACTGGAGGGCAGAGGATGGGTATTTCTAAAAAGTGTTCTGCACAGTAGATAATAAGTTTGAGTGTTTGAAGGGCTGGTGTGTTGTTTTTTTTTTCCATTTGATTTTCAGTTTCAAGCCCTGGGAAAGCATTTATTATTAGCTACTGTAAAGTCATTTTGAGCTGGCTTTGTGAGACACAGCTGTTACTGCAGGGAGCATCGTTAATGAGTTTAAGGTTACCACACAATCCAAAGTTGTGTTGGTTCTGGAAGCTCGTTCAGCTGTGCGTTAGATTTTGATGTTGCATATGCCTCCAGAGGGGTTTCTACCTCCACTGGAGCCACAAGTTGGACTAAGTTGTAGTCTTTTCCACAAATCTCTCAAACAGTCCAGCACATCTGAGCCTAGGATCCAGTGAGCAATAGGAGTCTGTGATATCAGGTTGTTTTCTGATTTGTCAGTGAGTAGGGGAATAAAAAGGATCTGCAGCTGAGAGAGTTTGATACCACACCACTCAAAGGAAAGAGAGCTGAGAACGCCAGAACTCGCTCCATGCAATGTGCAGGATAAGGGAGCTCCTCGTGCCAGCCCTGAGAGCTTTCTGCTTCCTTTTGAGTCTCCTTCCCCCAGGCCTTCCCCTCCCTTTCAGCAGAGACTCCACAAGTGTGGACGTACCAGGTCTCCCTTGGGGGAGGAGGCTGCCGGGACCTGGGCAGCCGTGTGCCACACAGACACGTGCTCTGCTGGGAGAGCTGGAAGGAAAACCTGATGCCTCGGCAGCTGCCTGCACGCTGCCTGGCTTCTGCCATGCTACAGGAGCAGCTTCTCTTTAGAGGTCGGCTGGTATTCATGAAAAAGAGGAAATGCGTAAATTATGGAAAACAGAAACTACCCAAACCCTGTTTTCTGCCTTTCTGTACGATGTGACTTGTGGTCACTCTGCAGCGGTCAGTAAGGGATGTCCATTCCTCTCCTCGCAGGCTGGCTGGGCTGGCAGCCCTGCCCGGGGAGGGGGCAGGCAGAGTTAAGGAGGGATTTTGCACAGAGCTGTCAAGTCTGAACATCAGCAGACAATTAATGGTGCGTGGGAAATGGGCTTTTTTTTCAGTTGTGTTGTTTGTACGGTCCCCTGGTGCCTATGTTGCAGAAAGCTGATTGTTTTAAAACCTGACTTGGAGCAAAAATAGCCATGAAAGTGTCTTGGTATTTCTTCTTGAGTGACTCTCCCACCTAAAACTGTTAGGGTTGAGTGAACGCAGAGCGACGGCAGGGTTTTATGCAGTGTTTCTCCATCTTCTGTTGGTGTAGCAGGGACCATGGCCAGATACTTCCCAAGATGTAAAACCAGACCCTTTCTTAGATAATTTCTGCATAGAGAGTGCTTCTCCCCAACTCTGTAAAGGGATATACTTGTCCTGCTTTCTTTTAAGGCAAGATGATGCATAATGTGTAGCTTAAAACAATCTCTGCAGACAGTGTTGCCAGGCAAGAGCTCATAACTGCAACGGGAGATGAGTGCTGCATTGTCCCCAAATCACAACTATTACAGACATTCTCTTCACCAGCCACAGGAAGATGATGAGGGAAGGGAAGAGCCGGTGCTGGAAGCAGTATGGGGATGTTATTAGTCTGATGGGAGCACTCTTAATTCCCAGTTTGAAAACTTGCTGGGGGGCACGTGGCCACACAGCTCATTTGATTCATTCTAAGAGCTGAGGACACCACCATGAAGTGGTGCTTGGCCTGTTCATCCTTGGGGAAAATAGAGGTTTGTACATCACGCTTGCTGTAAGCTGCAGCCATGCGCACTGGGGTGGTGTGGGCTGACCCTCGAGGAGGGAAAGTTGTTTTTTCCGCATCTGTCCTTGGTGAGAGACCAAGGCTGCTGCGGGGGAGTGTTGAGTCACGGCGTTCCCCAGCTGGCTGTGTGGTTTCCCAGCTAAAATTATGCACTGAGGACAAGCTGCATGGGGCCAGCCCCGCTCTCGATGTGAGGGACGCGGTAGCTGCTGCCATCGCCACCGAGCATCCCCCGGTTGTCGGGCTTTCACCGGGGAGGCCAGCGTAGGATGGGGCCACGGTAGGCTTTTAGTCAAATTGGCTGAGATTTCTTAATGTCACTGAAGGAATTATATTATTCTGCCATTTCCATTTACAAGGAGCGCAAACAGGGCGTGCACCTCCCTTTGGCATTGGGAAAATCTCTGCCCTTTGTCAGGTAAACGTTGCAATAAACAGATGCTTTCCTGTGGTGACACTCTCTCTTATGGGCCTTTAAAAAAAGAGGGGGGGGGTGGTGGTAAAAAAAACAACAGATTTACTGATCAGCCAGAAACCGGTGGCATTTGAACAGTTACTCTGTAACTAAACTGTGTGCGCCATGATAGGAGGCACTGGGCTGCAGGCCCTTGGGGTTGACTCATGGAGGGGGGAAGCCCTCTGCCAGAGATGACGAAGGAGAAAAGCAATTTGCTGTGTCCTTCTACTCCTCTTCCCTTTCCCCTGGCTTCCCCTCTGCCCATTCATTTTTAGGCTGAAGATTTTTAGGCCTGCGGGGCTCTCCTGCTGATGGAGTGGAGGGGCTGGTAGTGTCCCACAAACGGGCGACTGGCGTCTGCTGAGTGGTGGCAGGGGGTAGGGCCTGAAGAGGGGCGCATGATGTCAAATGCCTTCATGTGCCCGTGAAGCCGGAGGGATTACGAGCTGCTGGGCTGTGTCAGGAAGGGGGCAGCTTGCTGGTTTGATTCTTCTAGGAGATTTTGTGTTTTGGGTTTTTTTTTTTTTGCTTTTGCAACACAGGTGCCTTCTCCTTCCCCATCTCCCCTTCTTTCTCCTTCCTCTCCCTCAAAGTGCATTACAGCAGGGAAAAAATCATCCCTACATGCACACCTCACTTATTCCCCGGGTAAGTGCTCGTAATGCTTTCCAGCCTGGTTACAACAGCCATCTCTCCTCAGGGAGGTGAGCAAAGCCAGGTGAGGCTCAAGCAAAACTAGTGCAAGAAGGAAAAAAAAAAACCCCACAGTATTTCCTCCAAAATAGGTGCTGAAAGATCTTTTAGAAAACACGTGCTGACCCCCAGCTTCGAGGGGTGAGGTAACCAGCTCTCCCGTACCTTGGGCACTGGGGTGTGTGACTACCTGGAGCAGACTGTTTCCCTTGTATCCATCACGATATTGGTGACTACCCCTCAAGTTTATGGGTGTGAGAAGGTTTTGCACAGCCCTTTGTGTTCTCCTGGGGTCAGCCAGGTGGACAGAGTGATGGGATTTGCTGTACTTGAGCAAGTTTTGGTAGGCTTTCTTTATTCTCTTTTGATGGAGAAGGTTAGAAGGATGATTAGACCTATAATCTGTCTGCTCAGCCTGGTGGCTGCTCAGTTTCCACCTGAACATTTTGAAATTGCTGGAATACGGGTTCAGAAGGAAAGGCAGATGTTGACTGATTCAGGCCAGAGCTTCTGATACTGAACTTTAACAGGGTCCTATCCAATTCATTTATCCTATTCACTTAGTCAATGCCACCTAAAAAGAGCAGATATCTTCAAAAGGGTGGAGAGCTTAAGGGTTTATTTTGTTACTAAAACTATTGTTTCTGGAGATGGATGAAGATGGCATGTGTGCTTTCCCCCCAGCAACGTCAGGAGATGTAACATTATTCACCCAGCTAGGGCGAATGGGTCTTCTGGACCCTGTCTGTCTTTCCACTAAACAAGCAAGTATGAGGACAAGTTATGGGACAGCTGTGCCTCAGTTTCCCAATCTGTAAAATGGTTCCATCCTTCTCTGGGAAGCACAATCCATTGCTTGCAAAACAATTTCAAACCCTTACATGAAAATCTGCACAGCCATGCAAGGCAGCATACGCACATGTGGTTCTTCTGTTCCTTGGTAACAAAACCCTAGAGAAATGATGTAAGCTGCTGTGTTCATATCAAACTCTGTGTCACTGTCCTCAGTAATGCTTGTTCTGCAGTGATGAGATTTTTGGCCCTCAGTACATGCTGAGCAGCTTTTCATTTGAATATCTTGTGAATGCTGAGCCTCCAGAACAACTGCTTAGAGTCTTTAGGCTTGCGAGAACGGATTTTGCTTTAAGTGAGGTGAGTTTTGCTGTGAAATGCAGGGGAGCCATGGATGCCTTTTCCACAGATGCTGGGTGAGGTTGCAGCCACGCATGGTGGTGCAGAAACAACTTGTGGTGCCAAAGCAGCAAAAACAATTGACTCCCTACAGTAAGATAATTGCATGGCCGGCCCTGGCCTCTCTGTGTTTCTTTTTAAATTAGCTTGGGTGTAATAGCTCCACGTTAATCACGCCTCACAACTATTTCTAAATTGCAGACTCCTGACCTTTGATTTGAGCCCAATCTTTCTCTAGAA